ACCGCACGTTGAACCTATACTTCCTCTCGAACCTCGGGACCAACCTGGGCTACTGCTACTTCCCTGACGTGGTCCAACAAGGTACCAAAGCCTTTTACAGGGACGGTTGTACGATCCTATCGGCCACCGTACCCGGGGGTTCGGAGACCAGCTACAACATGGGTGGCACCGCCGTTCACGAGACGGGCCATTGGCTCGGCCTTTACCACACTTTCCAGGGCAACTCCTGCTCGGGGACCGGTGACCAGATCGACGACACCCCGCAACAGGCCAGTGCCACGTCCGGCTGCCCGGAGAATCGGGACTCCTGCCCATCCAAGGCCGGGAACGACCCGATCCACAACTACATGGACTACTCCGACGACGCGTGCTATGAGGAGTTCACGCCGGACCAGAAGGCTCGTATGGAATCCATGTGGGCGCAGTACCGAGTTTCCGCTTGATCAGGGATCACCGACGTTGGATAGTCAATAGCAAGGTTGAAAGCTGTCAACAGGGTACATAGGTACATAACTGAGACGGACATATCGAGAGTAGGCAGCACATACGGAAGGAAGCGCATATACAGAACTCACAGACCTGAACCTAGATGAATATATTTATTACTGACATCCTAATCCATTCTCGAGTTCACGGTTCGACCGAGCTCAGTTCAACATCGGCCCGCGCGGTGCGTGGTTCGCCCCTCGACCAGAGCACTCGGTTCAGAATGTCCGATGCCTTGAGAGGTTATTCCGATACCTACTGCCACGCATCCATGGATATAAGTGGTCATCTGGTACTGTGCAGTACATGAGCAGCACCTTATCAGTATGGTTTTAGGTTCTCAGGGCCCTTCTCGCCCAGCACGAGCCCCTGCCAAGCGGAACTCCGCAAAGCTTGCACCACGGTCCGCGAAGCCTGTTTTCCTCGTCAGGGTGGCCTTTTACTGGGTCGATTCAACGTCAGTCCGGTCCATGCTGTCATCAGATCGAGGGGTCTGAGATCCACGTGTCGATGTCGTGGTGGTCCGTTGGATGTAAACAAGCTTCGCGGCCGATGCTTTCAACGGTGCCGTTGCGGGGAGATTCGCTACCTGTATTTCTTGGTTTCGGTCCATCCATTCAAGGTGTGCTTGGCTTTCGGTTTAGGCTTGTGAACTCTCCCCGCGCGAAGTCGGGGTAGCTCAGCTCACAATCCGGACAGCTACATACCGATTAGTCGTTCGATCAGCTGCAATACGGTACTCAGTAGCGTCTGAGGCCTAGGTCATAGCTTGCAAGGGGTTTGTGGGCAGATCCAGCGTGAAGAGACAGCATGGTTTTACGACGACCTTTACAGCTCCCCAACTCGCCTACTTAAGGGGCCCCTATCTCCATGGGAATTCTCACATATCCAGCCCTCCACCACCATCACCACCCCTGAACTACTACCAACACCAAGCAACAACCGATCATAGCCAACCATACCCAACCACTTCAACATGGATAAGATGAAGGAAGCCAAGGATGTCATCACCGGCAAGACGTCAGTTCTCCGCTCCCAACTTGGCCTCTTGTCCTGATCTTTCTTCTGACGATGAACGTAGCGCCGGCGACCAAGCCCAGAAGAACCCCAAGGACAACTCTAAGGACACCATGGTTGACTCCGGTACGTCTCATGCGCCGTATGGATCGCTTTGATCATCGTACTCTAACCATTGCATAGCTGTCGACTCCTTCGCCGACAAGAAGGGCATGCCCGCTTCCGCGAACCCCGAATTGAACAACACGGTCAATGCCGGAGTCAACAAGTTCACTTGAACGTCTTTGGGACGGGATCCAGATCTTATGGTAGAATACTGCTAGGTATCACAGACAAGGGTCTTATATAGTTCATCAATAATTGCTTGGTCTTTACATCTCTCGTGGAATGTGCCAATAGTTAGTGATGACGTCCCCTTATCTGCTGTGATGTGTATCCTGAACATAGTATGAAATAAGCGAATGGGTTTCCGTCTGCCCTGCCACCTTTCCGGTATCCATAGATACTTATTCCGGAACGAGCCAGTACGAATCAAGCCGGTTCCGGGCACAACTTGCGAAAGGCCCAACCGGCGAACCGGACCGCCTGCACGTCCGCCAACCGCCAGCCCAGGTCCGCCGCCCAGATGATGACCGGCCAGACGCACAGGGCGGTGAGGAAGGCGCCGAGGAAGTACTGGCCGTCGGTGTCGGCGCCGGTGAGCCCGCGGAAGTAGGCGCACAGGCGGAAGCCGAGGCTGTGCAGGACGAGGCTGTGGACGAGGTAGAGGGCGAAGGAGACGCGGCCGAGGTACTGGGCGGCGCGCGTGGTGAAGGGCCGCTGCAGGACCGCGGGCGAGCGGTCGACGGCGGCCACCAGCGCGACCGCCGCCAGGGGCAGCCACAGGTAGTCGGCGCCGCCGGCGTCGTGGAAGTGCTGGGGCACGAGCCGGGCGAGGGTCGCGAAGCCGACGCTGTCCGCCGCGCCGCGCTCGAACTTGGGCATGCTGAGGACCCAGAGGGCGAGGGCGAAGGCGACGAGGGGGGCGACGGCGCGCAGACGGGGATTCTGGTACACCACCGCGAACACGCCGCACCTGCTGCTGCGTCTCCCCGGGCTCGGTCCCTCTTCCTCGTCCTCCTCTTCCTCCTGATGCTGCTCAACGTTTACGTGCTGCTGCTGCTGCTGCTGCCGCAAATCCGCGACCAGCATCCCGCCCAGGAACAGGAACTCGGCCCAGTGGACGAACCAGAGGCAGTAGGCGGCGACGGCGGCGACGAGCAGGCGGCGCACGCGGTCGCCGGCGCGCGACAGCGCCAGCAGCAGCCCGAACACGACCAGGCTGCTGCGCCACTCGATGGGCAGGGTCCAGAGGACGTCGTTGTAGCGCCAGCTGGCGCCCTGGCCGGTGAACGGCTCGGCGACCTCGCGCAGCGCCGCCAGGTAGTCGGCGAGCTGGGCGGCGAGCGAGGCGGCGCGGGGCGGCGCCATGGGGGGCACGGCGCCGAGGCCCCCGGGCATGGCGGCGACGGTGTCGGCCCGGCCGTAGGCGCCGGCGTAGGTGAGCAGCGGGCTCAGGGTGCAGATGAGGGCCGCGGGCAGGAAGAGGCGCGGGTGGCGGCGGAAGCTGGAGGACGCGAGGGCGGCGCACGCGTCCGCGGGCCGCCGCGCCCGCAGCAGGGCCAGCGGCTTGGCGCTCAGCGCGTACCCCGACACGGCGAAGAAGATCATGACGTTGGCGAGGCCGGAGACGGCGAGGCGGACCACGGGGAGCTGGATCGCGTAGTGCGGCGCGGACGACGACGACGACGACGACGACGACGACGACGACGAGGTCGACGCCCGGAAGCCGTCGTGGACCGACCAGGAGAAGAACAGCAGCGACATGTGGTGGAAGACGACGAGGAAGGCCGCGGTGCCGCGGAGACCGTCTGCGTAAGGTAGATACTTAGGTTAACTCACAGTCCGTCTGATTCCACGAGGGTGAAAAATGGGAGACGACGAGAGAAAGGGGCTACGTACCGAGCCAGGCGGTCCGGTGCAGTTTCCGAGGCTCCGCGTCCGGTCGGGTGGGTTGTAAGAAGCTCGGCAGAAGCACGACGAGGTGGCGGAGGCACCGGACGATCTTCCTCTTCTTTTTGCTCTGGCTGGTCAGGGTTTCAGAGCTGCTGACCTCCGAAGCCGACGTTGCCGTCTCCTCGGCCTTCTCCAGCTCGTCGTCATCGGAGTCCCGGCCTACTAGGCGGTAGCCCTCGGCGCTATCCCGAGCTCGTTGCTGCATGTGTTCGAGGAAGGGCATCATCATCTTGCGGGTATTCACGAATAGGTATGGATCTGGGAAGGAGAAGTCGAGATGTACGTTGCTCCGGCGCGTGCGTAGAGGTGGCATGTCTATCTTCCCAAGGGTACACTAAATCCAGGGGCAAATAGGAGGGAGTCTATGGGCCACACATACTGGGAAGCCCAACTGGTATACCTGTGTTTCCTTGTCACCTGGCCTCGATCTCGGGCGTGAGACAGTGTCGTCGAGCCCGAGGTCTGTTCATCTTGTGAATATACCCCGACCCATCGAGGCCGAGGTTTTACCTGTCCCTACACGTCGATCTCAGTCCTGAGACCGTTTCCAAGACAGGGACGTTGTGTATACTTATATATGGACTTTTACCCATTACTGTCACCGGGCTTATTGATTCTTTACCTTTTTATGTCTGAGGGCATTCCATGAGCCTCAAGCGGCAATTGGTAATGAGAAGGTCTCGGAACATTAGCGAAACGGTAACCACTGGCCGAGACTCGAGTTTCTTTGGCCATACTGCTGACATGGAAGGGTGATATGGTGCTTCTTGGAAAGAAATGAGGCTTACTCTGACTGGCCGTGAGGTGAGGAATCGCGAGAGTCTCAGTCGCCTGTATAACGTGGTTCAGGGGCCGACCTGTCATCAGTGCTGGCTGGTGGAATGTGAAGTGAGGTGGTGTGACACGTACACCAACGAATAACAGGCGAGATATAGCTGGATCTTTGCCACATGTGATCGGGTCCGAGTACCGGTATAAGGTGGAACGTCACACAGCAGAGCATGTAAGTCTTCATCAGCATTCTGCCACTGGTAGGAGGTACCTAGACCTAGAGAAAGAGGCCACGAAGTGCTGATGGTGGGGCTGGTGACGGACAGAGAGGTCCAAGGAAGCCAACTTGCCGCTCAGATCTGAAAAGGGGGGCGTATGGTCGTTGAAGGACCTTGCATGATCTCTGTGCTCGGATAGGTACACTGCAGGTACAGTAATGTAGACGGGAGGCGTCAATGATTGGGTACCAGTCGTCTGGCCCCGGAAGTTTCCATCCAAGGAACGATCGAATGCCGTAGGTAGCTGCGCCTGCGTTTGCAATTCCGCAGCAACCAGGGGCCAGTCAGGTGACGTGCCAGACGTGGAAGACGTGCCTACCCGCCGCAATCATGACAAAGGTCCCTTATAAACCGGCATAAAATACCAAAAGATCACATTCAAACAAAGAACCGACCATCATCGTCCAGCGGTTTAGGATATCAGATTTTCAAGCAATTGAAAGGACTCTGAAGACCGGGGTTCGAACCCCCGTGATGGTGTTATTTTTTTTTTCTCTTCTCTTGTTTTTGCCAGTCTTCTTTTTGATCTCTGACCTGTCTCTCCCTCCCGCTTTGGTAACTTGTTGGTGTTTTCTGCTTTTGGCTTTCCGCTCACCTGCTCCCAAGCACGCTTCCCTCATCACGTACATCCATCGATCCCTCACCACTTGCGCATCGAGGTCACAACACACGAGATCACCAACCTTGCTGCCCGCTACCATTTGTTTTGCCCAGCTGCGGAATTACTTACTACTTCCTCCACTCGGTTCATTTTTTCTTTTACTTTTGTCCCCCCCTGTTCCCATTCAAGTCCTCTACCGCCTGAATCCGACGTGCACACCGCAACATAGCCTCATCGGTACCTCAGGATATCTCTGTTGCCAAGAATTCGTGGGCGAGAAGAAAGAGGCATACGTATAGTATTTCCATTCTGCGTAGTGTTTTTATGGCTTACATGGCATCCCTTGCCCGCCTTTAATACAAGTATCATGGGGCCAGTTGATCTTCATAATTCATGGCTCGTCCAAGTCCGTTTTCTCTTTGCTCTTCCCTCTCACCTCCTGATGCCACCTTTCTTTCCCTCCCCGATACTCCCCCCTAAACCTCATTGCTAACATACGCCACCCTGCTCGTCGGCCCAAACTCCTCCTTGATAGAGCGCATACTGACAAACCTGCTTAGGATATTCGGAGAGCCCGCCTTATCATTCGTGCCACTCGCTCTTGCCCCACCGAAGGGCTGCTGGCCTACCACGGCGCCCGTGCTCTTGCAGTTGACGTAGAAGTTGCCGGCCGCATTGCGGAGCGCCTCTTCGGCTTGGCGGATGGCGGCACGGTCCGCCGCGAACACGGCGCCCGTGAGACCGTACTCGCTGGTGGAGTCGACGAGGCGGCACGCGTCAGCGAAGGCATCCGGGGCCGCGTCGTCGTAGACATAAACCGTAAGGATCGGCCCGAACAGTTCCGTCGACAGGAGGTGGTGGGCCGGGTTCTTGCTTTCGTAGATCGTGGGACGGATGAAGTAGCCCTTGGAGCTGTCGTAGCTTCCGCCCGCCAGGAGCTCTAGGTCGCTGTCCTTCTTGGCGGCATCGATGACACCCGCCAGCTTCTGGAAGCTGGGCTCGTGGATGACGGGGCCGATGAAGTTCTGTGGGTCCCAAGGGGCGCCCATCTGCAGGGCCTCGGTCTCGGCGACCAGCTTCTCGCGGAACGTAGGCCAGACGGACCGCGGCACGTACACGCGGCTGGTGGCGCTGCACTTCTGGCCCTGGAACTCGAACGCGCCGCGCACCGTCTGCACGACCGCGTTCTCCATATCCGCCGAGGGATGCACGAGATGGAAGTTCTTGCCGCCCGTCTCGCCCACGATGCGCGGGTAGCCGCGGTAGCGACCCTCAGCCGTGCCCTGCCCGATGGCGCCGTACAGTTTGCGGAAGACCGCCGTGCTGCCAGTGTAGTGCAGAGCCGCGAAATCCTTGTGGTCTAGGACTACCTTGGTCACCTCCTCCGGGTTGCCGGGGACAAACTGGATCACGTTCTTGGGCAGGCCGGCCTCGAGCAGGATGTTGTACAGCAGCCAGTTGGACGCGATGGCCGAGTCGGACGGCTTCCAGACCACCACGTTGCCCATCAGTGCGGGGGCGCCGGGCAGGTTGCCGCCGATGGCGGTGAAGTTGAAGGGGCTGACGGCGTACACGAAGCCCTCGAGAGGTCGGTACTCGATGCGGTTCCAGACACCGGGGGCGTGGTGGACGGGCTGCTGGGCGTATAGCTCTTCGGCGTACTGGACGTTGAAGCGGAGGAAGTCACACAGCTCGGCGGCGGAGTCGATCTCGGCCTGCCACGCGTTCTTGCCCTGGCCTACCATGGTAGCAGCCATGATCTCGTAGCGGTATTTCGTGGAGATGAGGTCGGCAGCCTTGAGGAAGACGGCGGCCCTGTCGGCGAAGGGCAGGGATTCCCAGGCGGGCTTTGCGGAAAGCGCAGCATCAATGGCACTGCTAACGTCAGAGGGACTGGCGAGGGAGTATTGAGCCACAGCGTTGTCGTGTTCGGACGGGTTGGATTGTTTGGCCGTCTGAGATGCCGTGATCTGACTTTGAAGGTTAACGATGGTCGGCGAGAACCAGCCAAGGGCGATCGATGTACCTCTTTACCTCCTATAACTAGAGGGACTTGCACAGTTCCATCCTTGCGCAGTTTATCGCATGCAGAGAGCAAGCCTTCTCGTTGGGCCGAGCCTTTCGCGTAGTGGTGCTGTTGGCTGTGTTAGCCAACCCATTCATTACATCACGTCTTTGTACGGCCGACGGCGTCTTGTACATACATTGGGCTCGTTCACCACTTTGGGTATCTTGAAGGAAGCCAATGTGGTCATCTTGGGTACGGTGGTGCAGAAAGCTCGAGGGGCTCGTAACGGGTTCAATGCCATTGATGATGGTCTGAAGAGCATCCTGGAGGTCTGGGTAGAGGCGGATTGGGTTTGTAAGGCCCTGGCGAGGCCAACGCTCCTCCGCACGGCAGCCATCCTGGACACTGCTCGGGGCGATGGACGGTGATGTGTGTGGTACACCGTGACGTGAGGGTGTGGTGGTAGGGGGGGGGATGGATGGAAGAATTAGGTATTTGGACAGCCACCTCCAACGTTATATTCTCCCCCGCAAACCCCAGAACTGCAGCTGCCAGCCCAGATACTTGAATGGGCGGCACAAAGGAACCTAGCCGGCCGGCCTCGCTATCCAGCTCGCCGCATGCCCCCCGACACGATGATGTAGGCTCGCTTTGCTGCGGCTCAGACGACAGCTCCCGTTGGAGGGCGTTGGAGGGAGGGACGCAGCGACAGCTGGAGGGGTCCACGCGGGGCAGCGACCCACTAGAGCTCTGCCACCAATAACACCCGTCAATTACCATGCGTCCATTCCGAACTCGGCACCGCAGAGGGCATCAGGGCATCAGCTCGCCCGATGCCGAAGTGTGGAATCTGAGGTCCGGCATTGTGTTATCTCGGTCTTCCTGAGATAAGCTATCACCAACCTATGAATCGGCGTAATGACTCGAGAGGTAAAGAAACTTTGACATCTTGATTAAGCTGGTCTGCGGTGCCGCCCAGTCACCACCAGCAGCCAAACGTGGTATATAAAGTATACAACAACCACCTTTTCCCTCTCTGCATCTCCGCACCTCTGCATCTCTGCATCCGGGGTATCTTCACTTTTCTGGCCTCTCCTAAGGTCTGGTCGCCTTCCTCTTTTGCGAAAAAGGACTCGGCCTCATCGGCCGCGGGCAACGCAATGACTCGCTGTCTACCCGGCATTACCTACAAGTAGGTAGTTCCCTCTCCGTCGACTATTCCTATTCGTCACGTGGGTATTCTCGGCCTCTGCCACGGCTATCCTCGCCGCTGCCACGTGCCTGGGAAACACGATGCTCTGCTCGCCTCGTGCCCGAAGCAGGCCGTGCTCTACCGGATTGTGTCGGGTGCGGATCTGGCGCCAGTGCTCGGCGGCGCAATCGTGCTAGCCTGCGTGTCCGGCCGGCTCTTGTGGTGCCGGAGGCCGTGCCGCTGGCTCATGTTGCTGCCGTACTTGCCTGACTCGAACACCAGGTGCGGGATGGTGAACCCGTACGGCTCCGTCTGGCCCTCCTTGTCGTGCTGGTTGATCTCGACCCGGATGCAGCAGTCCAGAGACCCGTCGTTGCCCTTTCCATGTCTTTCCATCGATGAGGCCTTGTGCTGCGTACCAGCGCCCGATTCGCCCGCCGAGAGGAACGCGTGCCCGTCGTGGCCATCGAACGAGGGCTCCTGCGCCTCTCCATCGGTGGCCTCGGCGTTTCCATTGGCGCCGTTTACCATCGCTGGGTGGTTGTTAGGTGAGTTCTCGGTCAGTATGGCATAATTACGACTGGGCATCGTGACGTGGTTCGAGTTCATCGTCCTGGTCGTGTCTCCCGGGTCCTTGTCAAAGAGGTTCATTAGGGTCTCATCGGTGTCGCCGTTGAGATGGTGAATCTTGTTGCGGCTTGCCAACAGGTTCGCAATCGCGTTGGGCGGTGGCTTGTTGACAATCGCGGAGGAGACCACATTGCACATGTAGCGGTGGTCTGATTCCACGGGGATGTGCAGGTTGGGGTTGGAGTAGAAGCGCCCCAGAGCCGCAAGGTGGACATCACCTCCGAGGATGGTCAATCGCACCGAGAATTCCGCACACAACGTCTGAAGGCGCTCGATCAACGCATTTCGCTCCTTTTTGTGCGTCCTCGCCGTGTAGTGATCGTCCAAGTCGTCCAGCAAATCCACGCTCCCGTCGAAGTGGTTGAAGACGCCGCCACCTAGCAGACTCGTCAGCCCAGCATTTCCAGGCTTTCCAGCCGAGAGGGAGGAAACTCACCAAATCCAAACCTCCGGTTCAGAAACTTGACGGGCGCAATTAGCGGGCTCGAGAAGATATTCTCTAGCCAGGTAAGTCGCTAAATCCGGTTAGTGGCGGTCACCCAAGATCCGAGACTCAGACTCACAGGATAGGCAATAGGGATACCCAGAAGCATTATCAGGTGTTTGAAGGGCTGACCCGCACTAGCGGCGGCGGCAAGCTCGCGACGCACGCGCTCAAAGATGAGATCGTACGTTTCGGGATAGTTGACCTGGTGCCGTGTGCGCTCGGTCCGCGCGTCGATTCCGAAAAAGGCGATGCGGGCCCCGAGTTTCGCGTACAGGTTCATCGAGTGCTCGGCCACATACGGCCCTGGCTTGCTACCGACGATGTAGCAAGGGTCGTACGGGCCCTGCGGCTTGACGAACGTGTCCTTGAGCTGGTCCTGATCCTGCATGGGGCCGTGTTCCTTCGTTTCCGGGGCGTCGCTGGTGTAGGTGGACGGCGGCGGCGCGAGGTGGTGCTGGAAAAGGAGGTAATACTTGTGCGCAGTGCCTCCAATCCCGCGGAAGACGTCGCACTTCATGAAGTCGTTCACGTAGGAGCCGAAGCCGTCAATGATGTCGTGGTC